ATCGAGTCCAACCCTCAGCCCAACTCTACAAAGTTCTCCCCTCCACCAGATCCCCCAACAGCTCATCCAAACAACCCTTAAACACACCCAGGGATGGGAACTCCCCCCCTCCCTGGGCAGCCTGTTCCACTCTCTGACCACTCTTTCTGCAAAAAATTTTTCCCTCCTGCCCAGCCTGACCCTCCCCTGTTGCAGTTTCCAGCCGTTCCCTCTTGTCCTGTCCCTGATCCCCTGGGAGCAGAGCCCAGCCCCAGCCTCTCTGCAATGTCCTGTCAGGAGCTGCAGAGAGGGATGAGGGCTCCCCTCAGCCTCCTCCTCCTCACACTGAACACTCCCAGCTCCTTCCCTGGCTCCTCACAGGATTTATTCTCCAGCCCTTCCCCAGCCTCGTTGCCCTCCTCTGCCCTCGCTCCAGCCCCTCCAGATCTCTCTGGGATTGAGGTGCCCAAACCTGGACACAACCCTCCAGGTGTGGCCTCACCAGTGCAGAGCACAGGGGGACTGTCACCTCCCAGTTCTGCTGGTCACACTAGTGCTGAGACAAGCCAGGATGCCGTTGGCTTTCTTGGCCACCCGGGCACACTGTTAATGCAGTAGGAGTAGCCCTGAATTTTTTTATTAACTCTCCGCACTGCCGGCAGCTGATCTGCTGTCAACATTCTTGACTTGGTCTTTCATATTACTCCAGGGCATCTTTCCCAGAATGAAATCTTGAGGTTGTGTATTTTTTTTCCTTAAAAGGAGGGACATTGGGGCTGCAGCTGTTGGCCCTCATACCAGGCATTGCACCATCAGCACCAGCCTACAGCGGAAAGCATCGAGTTTTCAGAGCTAAAGCACACAAAATTTTAGGACACCAGCAGAAGGCAGCCACCACTTCAATGCAGGCCAGAAGAGACAGATAGGCACATGTTTCAAAGTATTTCAAAGGAGGGTGATGCAGCACAAGGTGCCTCTCCACAAACTGCTCTTGAACCTACAACAGCACCTCTGCAAATCCCACCTGAGAACTTCAGTCCTGGGTGTGATGAAAAACATTCTGCCTTTCCACTACCACTCCACACCATCATTTATTGGCCCCAAGCAGCCCCCACATATCCTAACCCTGTTACTAGCCAGCTTCTGATAGCCAAACAATGGTTTTTGATGGCCAAGTTACCTAGTTGTGTCTTCAAAGACCACTTCCCACTTGTAGATCATGTAATGAGAAATTCCTATCCAGGTAACAAAGCATTTGGAGTTTTGTCTTTGTGGGAGATAATGATCTCTTTCCTCTATTAAAAAGATCTATTCATATCAGTAAACATTTTTAAAATATAGTTGAGTATCATATTTCATCATGGATGTACTTACTGCAATGGCTTTTGCAGTACGAGCAGAGTGTGCACGGGCCCTACACCACCACCCACCTTGCACAGTTCCAGCTCACACCGCACATTTGTGGAAGCAAATTCAGTGCAACCTCACCATTAGCAGGCAGAAAGCTTTCTAGGAGGTGGTACCTCTCTTTAGTCTAAAATCCTGCTTGGTGAAGGGAGAAACAATGACCTGGACAGAGAAAAGCTTCTCACAGATCCCATCTACCCACCTGTCACACTGATCTAGAAATAAGAGCATTCCTCACTCTTTACAGAGCACTTACATCCAGTATTTTTCCCTGTGATCATTAGACCAGTAGCATTCTCACCTTAGTTTTCAGGATGACTTCCTTCTGAATTTCCCTAATAACACACTTTATTGCTCTAAGGTTTTTAACTTAAAACATAGAGCGTAACTTAGATTTGGACACCCGACTCACAAATATCTCTTAGGAGGCACCTGTGAGGCACCTCCAAAGTGCCAAGCCTTCTGCTGTACACTTGCAGCAGGAGAGTTTTTGCAAAGAGGCTGCAATCCTCCTTTAATTTACGTTCTCATTTAATTTATATACAATCCTCAGCTGGTAAAAATCTAGCTTTTAAAACTGATAGCACATGAGAAAGTTTTCCAAATATTATAGGGGCAGAGGCTGTGTAAGAAATGAGTGGCAATGCTCCTATTTCCAAGCCAAAGACATCAAAACTATTAGTGTTTCAAGCTCACCTGATTAAACTTTAACCGTTCACATACTCAGTTTTAATTAATATTACTTTCAGAAACTGCTCAGTTTAGGTATTTTACAGAATCTCTCAGACATGCTAGTTAAGAAAATATTTTTCATCTGTTGAGAAATCTACAACATGCCCTGTATGTATAAAACTCCTTGATGGAAAAGGTTTTTCATCCACCAACACAACAAAGCTCTAAGTGTCACCTACCCACATGTTTCCTGCCAAGCATAAGCCCCACACTTGATTCTTTCTTGTAGCCTGATTGCTACAAGAGAAAAACAACACGATGAGTTTTCCCTGCTCCTTTATTATAAAGTTGCGAGCACAGAAGCTCCCAATGCTCCTTGGAAGGCTGGTGGTCAGCTGCCCACAGCAGAAAAGAAACTGGAGTTCATCAGCACGGATCCTCCGCTCCACTCTTACCGTCTCCACACAGAGCTTCAAATCAAGCATGACAGGAAAGCGGCACACGTGGAAGAAATGACACCTAGAAGCATCCTTGATAATCCCTGCACTTCTCTCCTTTCTTTCCAATTCACTTAAAATTGCTGCTTCAGAAAATTCTCGTAGACGTCTGAAAACAGATACAAATGAAGACAGGGGAAAAAGAGGTTTTACAGTAACAATCATTTTAATCCATGTTAACCGGTGATATTTAAAGTTACAGCTGGTGATGGTATTTGTGACAGACCAAGGCAAAGCTGTTAATAATAGGTATTTGTTTTGTTTACAGGACTCATTTCATGCAAAGAGCACGATTTAAAAAAACGCAGGGTGAATGCAAGCCATCACAAGAGGCCATTCATCATTCTGCCTACGTTTGTTTTTTTTTTATTAATACATCCACAGAACTGCAACTGTGCTCATTCCACGAGAGAGAAGTTCACGGCAGAGGGATTAAAACAGACAACCTTTATCATCGTTCTCCAGCTGTCAGTCAGCCTTTTTTATCTGCCAGCGTGTGTAGACAGTATCAGCTCCATTAACAATGCCACTCCTTTAGGGCCACTGGATTGAAACGATGACAACACGGAGCAGCTACTGCGAAAAGACACAAGATCAAGAAAGCCGAAGTAGTTAATTGGCTGTTTCTCAAACACCCACAGCAATCCACTTCGGTTCCATTGGTATACTAGTAATTAAAAAGCTAATTGCTATTTTATTTTGGAAGGCAGGAAACCCTGAGAATAAAGTCATGAGAAATGCTGACATGAGAACGGTAACGCGCTCTGTTCTCATCAATTGATCCCCGCAGCGTGAGCCTATCGCCTTGACAAGGTTTACACAAATAATTGACACAAGGGTAATTAGCTGATCAGAAATCAAGGCGATTATCTCCATCTGAGATCCCAGACACGGTTTAAATGGAAAACAAACACTGTTGTTCTATTTACTTCGATGAAACCTCTTCTGGTTGATGTTCACGAGATAAAGGCCCTTGGGCCAAAATTTTCCCTCTCACAAATTAATTCCCCCCCCCAGCTCCATGGAGCATTTCAGGTACATAAACCCAAGCAGAACTTGCCCTTTTGTTCAAAACCACTGTCACTGGTGAAAATGCTGGGCAACCTTCAATTTTACTGAAATACAAGTAACAGAATTATCTAAATCTCAATGTTTCAAGGGAAAGAAGACTTACAACTTTGTGAGTAGCAGAACACACGCCCAACATCTACACCTGGGCAATGGTGTCATCACTGTCTGCTAACAGCATTGCCTTCCTCCTGATCACACAGTTGAACAGAACAACATGTGAACAAGCTAACAACTGCTCTGGGGTGAGCTGGTATCAGTACAGATTCCACTAGACTATGCAGAGGAACAAGAAGTGGGTCCTGAGCTACAAAGGGTGATGATACTACTAAGAGCTTGCAATGCAGACGGGGTATTTACACCCATGTTGCAGAGAGATTAAAATGCAAGAGGGGTGGGTACTCAGTGCGAGTTGGTGGGTGTGGTACAGCATGCGTGCAGAGAGAAACGGCAGAATAACTCACGTTTTCATGTAGTTCTCTGGAAAATGAACCCTTGACAGCTTTTGAAAATAGCTGCCAGGCCACTTGGGGAAGAAAGGAGATTCACAGAAGACACTTTTTCTGTAGGGGAAAAAAGGAATGTGCAACAAAAAAAATAGACTTCAAAGGGGAGAGGAAAGAAAAAGTCCAGAAATGCAAACCAGAAAACACTGACCTAGCAACATGGCAGGATCTACGTTTGATAGGGCATGGGAAAGAATTGTTCTTACATCAGCAGGCATTCACAGCACGGAAACGGCGAGGACTGAGGACATTGCTGGTATGCTCTACCACAGGAGCACGCAGCACTGCTCTCACCAGCACTGTATAACTTGATCAAAATGTATTTTGAAAGTTGCCGTCAGAAAGATGGAAAAAGTCACCTTTCATAGCAAGCTATTTCTATTCACAGCAAACAGCCTGCCTCATGAAAACGCACATTTTATAATCCACTGGTAGTCATTTACTCACAAAATTATTTCATCATCAGAACACCTGCAAGCTGCAGCACAGTTAAGAACGTCACCATTACCCATCTTACTACAAAGAGATCATACACAAGAATTGCTTGAAACAGCAGTTAGTGTTAGCAGCATTAAGCCAGTCATGAGTTACAAGCAGACACAAAAAAACCCCAGGGCTAACGTTGCACTAGTTATGGAAGCAGAGCTTCCACCTCCAAAGTGCTTTTTATGGAGGGAAAAAAAGAAACTTCAAGTCAGTTGTTTAGGTTGAATTTTTTTTTTTTAATGAAGTGTTGCTGAAAATCATTAGCTGAACAATGACAGCATCTTCTAGTTACAATATAAAGAAAATACAAATAATGGTATAAATAATATCAAGCGACAGCCTTTGCAGAAATTGCTTAAGGCGATGACTAGAACTGACACTACAAATTCTTCATCTCTATATACAAATCTATACATTCCATAAATACAGCATCAATTGAATTTTAGCCCACTGACACGCTGTTCAGTACAGGATACCTCAGATTTCACTGCAGATTACAAGCTTCTGTTTTCTCATACAAATTCAGAGTCATACAAGAAATTCAGTTAGTGACATAACTTACAAGAAATTAGACTCAGAGACACTAACAGCAGGAGACTCACAAGCTGGCGTTTTGCCTTGCTTACCTACAACGAGGATTTCTACATCAGCCGATCCTCTGGCACTCATGCTGCAACTCTTAAGTATAATGAGAAGGGCTAGGGTTCTTATTTCAGCTTTTCCTCTGATTTCTCTGCATTTTTAGTCTCAAACATTTGGTCCTTATATTAACAGTCATTTTATAGCTAATTCTAGAGATAATAAATTTTTTGAAAAGTAGTAAATGGAACTTTGATGCCAGATCGTTTCCATCTCTTCACGGGATGCCAGGAAGAACTAGATTCATTATTGATGTAGGTTAATCTTCACCCTAAAATGTAGATGGGGAAAAAAGGGAAAAACAAGTCAGTCACAGGCACTCTCACAGGGCTAGTCAGGTTTCAGCTGTCAAGAAAGAGAAAAGCTTTTTGAAATTTATCTAATACATTAAAAAAAATCCCAAATGCCTCTGATATAATAGCCTTTTGAAACACACTTAATAGAATATAGATTCTTTGACAAACACTTTTTGTTATCAGATTATGAGAGCAGACTGATTTTTGTTTATTATTTTACATATAATTACAAAATGTTCTCAGTTAACTGACGTCAATTAGATGTATCCACTTCCATTTTTCAGGATTCTATGCTCAAAGCACATACACAGCCTATAAAAAAGACAAGACTTATTGCATGTTTTTTCTTATGAAGTTTTCACTATCTGGTAAATCCTTGGGTTACATTCTCCAAAAGGATTAATGTAACTGTACAGTGCTTAATACAAGAGCATCAATTGAGTTCAGCCTTATTACACCTTACTGTAACAGTTCTAGCATTGTTTTTAGCACCGAATACTACAGACAGGGGGGTTTTTTTGAAGACTGTGGATAGTTTCCATGAGATACCCACCTTTAGCTGGGCAAATGGTTCTAGCTGACCACTAGATTTCCATGGCAAGTGGGAAAAGGAAGCATTTCCAGGCTTATTTCCTTTCTTCAGTGTTTGTGAGAGAGAACCAGCTGCACACACTCACTGCAGGAGAAATGGGTGGAAGGCTGTACCCATGTTGCACAAAATGAGGGTAAGACTACACCATCCTCCATTATTTAGGGTACTACATGAGACTCCTAGCCAGAGGAACTGGTTGTATCGCTTCTAGAAGCCAACCTCAATGTGGATGAAGACTGTAAGAATTAGAGTATCAAATGAGCACAAACCACAAACACTTCTCTTCCTTTTCAGGGGAAACTGCTAAACTTCAAGCTCCAAAATAAGGATTCCCAGAGATCCATCTAGGGCCAGAACATCTATAACAAAGCACGATCAGCCACGTGATGGAAGCCACAGAACGACAGAAATCATCTAATTATTGTTGCTGAGGATCCTACATTTTGTAATTAATTATGGCATCTACAGCAGGTTGGAAAATTGCAGTTAGAACCTCTGTGTCACACATATTTTGACTTGCAGGACAAACAAGGAAGCAGTATAAGATGATGTAGGCTGTAACAAGCCTTCTGTCCCATCTGCATGAAGCACAAAAAACCTGTTAGAACACGGATGCCACTATTTGTGCCACAGAGCTGGGCCCAGGCTTGCCAAACACGGTCCTGTAATGCCAACTGCTGGCTAAGCCAAGAAGCAGGAGTCACTGTGACAGGGAACAGATGAAAACTGTTGCTCATCACAATGAGAATTTCCAACATTCTGTTTCCTCCATAAAACTGAGAAGTTTCTTGTTTGGAATCACAGAAAGTGAAACAAAGAATGGAGGGAAGAAAGCAAGTAGGGTATTTCCAGTGAGATCAGACATGTGTTCATCACATTACCTAGTGCTGAGTGAAGCTGTTCTGGCCATGCATACTGTAACTCCTCTGCATGTTTTCTACATCCCTGATTCAGGAAGACAATTATGTATGCACATAACATTTGAAATATATGTTTAATTACAATGCATAGTTTGCATTTGAAACTAGACCACGTAAGTCTAATTCTAACTAAAAACAATTTATTACATCTCTGGCATGATCATGTTACAAATCCAACTGCAAGGTTCCTGAGTATAGTTCTGGACAGCTGGCCTAGTTCAGGTTTTTTCTCTAAAGAATCCAGAAAAAGGACAGGCAAGCATTCAACACAGGCAGAAATCCCCAAACTTATGGGTTTGGCTTTGTTGTGATCTTTCAGGACAAACTGCAGTTTGGAGCTTAAAACACAGGGTAGAGGGGAACCCTCATATCCTCCCCATCTCCTCTTCAGTGTTACATAACCTTTCATAATAGTTTTCCATGTCTATGCAACATTTCTAGCAATTGCTAACTAAATACATGTGTGGTGGGTCTAGAGAATAAACTTAAAACCATGCCTTAAGGATTAATAGATGAGTGCTCAGAATGGAATTCTGAAAACAACTGTGCTGTGGACTGAAATACGGCACTTTATTATTTCCAGTGCTTTTGAGTAATTCTGAATTGAGATAATGCTAAACAGACCCAATTAGTTCAATAAAAAGAAGGCAACATTCAGTCTAGCGAAGTCATTCATTATAGTATTTATTCTACGAAACAAAGAAAAAAAACATAAGATTAAAAAGCGTTCCATGCATTTCATAAAATATAGTGAAAGGTATTGTCACAAACCAAACCCAGAATAAGCCAGCAAAACCTCCACTGAAAATCCCAAGAGCTCCACTCTCCACATTGCATCACATAAATGCCAAAAGCATGTACAGGAGAAAGAGGGGTCTAAGGAAAGTGGCAGGTTTTCTCTCAATATCTGGGATGAATATATCAGCCCACAAGCCTTTTGCCATCACCTCTCATCATAAAACAGAACTGATGCAACTTGTTGTTCTTGCTGCCACTTCTTGGTGTTATCTTTGGCTGGGAAGCCAGGAAACACAGCAGAGTTCACATTAAGTTGCTGTCTAGAAAGGTATCAGGACCCAAAGTGTAGGTAGAGACAGACAGACAGCAGGGCACGACGGGCAGGAGGAGATGGCAGCTGTGCCACTGTGGGAGTGGAGGGGCATGCTTTGACTATCTCACTAAGAGCATGGAGGGTAGGAAAAATCCTGCAAAATCCTGCAAGAGAGGTATGGGCAGAAGCAGGGAATACACCTAGTACCTCTTTAAGATTCTCAATAACACAAAAGACATACTGCATTATAAAAGGATGCTAAGAGCAACATCTTTATTTAGGTTACAAATTACATTACTATAAACTTTCCTACTGAAAGCTTTGGATCCAGTTCCTTCTCCTCGATCTACAGAGCTCCATTTGGCTTTAGCAAAGCTGTTATAAGATCCTCTCAGGCTCCCACATTGGTTATCAACCACATAACTACTGATCACGAAGCCAGTCTAATTCTGGGCTCTGACACAAAAGCAGCCCCCATTTCTTACTGGGAATGCCCAAAAGCTGCTGTAGCTGTATTTGGGGAGGGTGGTGTAGAGGAAGAACAAGGCTCCGCTTACACAAACACCTGTTACCCCAAGAGCCCCACTCCATGCAGGCTTAGGAACACCACGATCAAAGAGTTTCATGTGGGAGGAGCAAAGAGAAGCCAGCAGACTGGGATCCTTCCCCCTGCCTCTGGGGATGCATCCACTTCTCTCACAACAGCATTCTTCTGCTAGCTACCAAGCTATCTCTGCTGCAGTGCGGAAGGTTCTGCAGCGGCCTCCTGTGAATAATGCACCGTGGGGGAAGATTGTTACAGTTACAAGTGTGGTTTTCATGTTGTTTCTTAAAAAGATAAAGCTAGGTCTTCCTATTTAAAAAAAAAATACAGTCAAGTGGAATTTAAAGTGTAGCATGATGTATTACAAATTTAGAGTATGAGATATAGAATCACCCCTGCTATTATGCCTTAACTCTGTTCCTTTGCGTGTACCTATCAGGAATGAGACTTAATATCACGTGATCTTTTCACTTTTCAATTCCCAGAAGAACCTTATTTCACTCCCTGGACAAGTACAGATGAGGCAGAAAGAAGACTCTATAGGAAATCCCAAATCCAGCATTTCTCACAGCTAGAATAATGTTTTCTTGATGGAGTTTCAAAAATTCAATTATGTTTCATGTGTTCCATTTACCGTGCACTAGGAAAACAGAAAACGCTGTAAAAGATTAAGGTCTCAGGTCTTCAGAGGTCTCCACAGGCCTCGGTGAAACACAAAGATTGAGTCTTCTGTTAAAGTAACTGCCCAGCTTCCTAGCTAGTGTAATTTCTGTGTTGTCCATGTAAACATTACACAAAGTCTTTGTACCACCCACTAAGCTCTTTGCCTCAATCAACTATTTGTGCCCAAAAGCACATCCTGATGTTTCTTCCCACACCATAACCATCCTCCTACACCACAAAAGATCTAACAAAATAGGAATTAATCCCAGGCTGGATACTTACAGGGATTGCTGCTGTTTGCTTCTGTCTTCCCAGCCTTGGCAAGTTTGGTTGAGTTCTGCTGTGCTTTGCCTTGCTCCTCTCCAGTTAGCAGGGCTTTTATTTCAGAGGGGATTTTCCCTTGGTCCATCGCCATGCACCACTGCTTGTACTGAAATATGCAAACACATTAGGCATTAGCAAACTGCCAGGATCACATTAGCAGACAAAACAAAGCTGTAATCTTTACCTTCCTGTATTATTCATTTAAGGTTTGAATTTATTGGGCTGAAGCCTCTTACAAAACTGCAGTGCACTAATGAGCTAAGCACGTGTCCATGGTCGCATACCTGGCCTCAGTAAATCCTGTTTCAGTCACTAAACTGCTACTCAGTGGCAGGACTAGGCACAATACTGTAATTATTAAACAATATGGAACACTTTGTGCATTTTCTCGCTGCTGGCATGCCAGAATACCGTTCCAGTTCATGGCCTATTAAAAACAAGTATTTCACATGACTCTGGGGCTGACTGATTAGTAAAAGGTCCTTTCTGATCGTGCAAGGCATGGTTACAGCACATGTGCCTTATTCCTAGCTCCTGCATCTTAAACTCCTTGTTGGCAAACCCTGAAGCACACCGAAAAACCTGTGGTCAGATGGCTGACCTTCCACCCAATCCTAACCCTATTCGCTTGTGGTGATAAGCCCCGCCTATCCAAACAACCCTAACGCAAGGTCAAGGCAATATCCTCAGCGCCAGTGAAACTTCATCTCAGTATCACCGAGGAGCTGAGTCTGTACTTCCAGATGAAACATTTTCTTCAGTTAATGCATCTTATTTGGCCAAGACACCCATCTTATACGTGCTGGAACACAGGACAGCTGTGCAACCATCTACACAGAGAATATGCTGCAAGAATCAACCTCCCTGACCGAGACAAAGGTCCGTGGGAAGCAACGACACATTGTGGATGTATGTTTCCCCTTGATATTTTATTTATCACATCTCCTTCCACCTTTTATCTCTTTCTACCTCTGTCAGAGGTTTTCCAAAACAAACACTTCAAAGCGAACGGACTCATCCGCAATGGCACTTTCTGTGCTTGCTTCTGGTTCAATACCAACGCATAACTTGCGACACGAGGTTCGTATTCAACGTGCAAAGTAGGCAAACAGCTGAATGCACTTGTTACTGATGCTCTGATACCTTAGGGCTGGCCAAATCCCGCTCTCACAGTGATTTTGAGAACCAATGTCCACGAGGACAGGTTCCACACAATATTGAGGGTTAGGTTACATAATAGTTTCTTACCATTTCAAGCTCTTCTCTGAGTGCGCAGATGGCTCGTTCCCTGCTTGAAACCAGCTCTTCCAGGTACTGGTACCTCAGCTTCTTCCTGGCTCTGCACTCTCTCGCACTCTGACGGCTTCTTTCAAGTTTTGCCTTCAAGTCTATTTTGGCTGGTTTACGACCTCGCTTGCCTGGTTTCTTTACCTTGCCTCCAACCACCTGGAAAGGAAGGGTACAGTAAAGATCCTGTTCTGCAAAGGTAATGCTATAACCATGTCATCGTGCCTACTAGGTGTCTCAAGGAGAAAATCTTGTGAATGCTTTCACTGATTCTGGAGCAACAGAGGAAACAAGGGGGCTGAGGTATGAAGTTTTTAGTGACGGGATCAAAAACAAAAGGGAGGGATATGACTTCAAAGAGAAGTGGATGTTTAAGCAGTCCTATTGTAAATGCTACTAATCTGATTTGGAGGAGCTCCACAGAGCAGTTGAGGTTGGCAGAGACCTCCACAGTCACCCGGTCCAACCCCCCCTGCTCAAGCAGGGCCTGCCCAGGACCATGTCCAGATGGCTTCTGAATATCTCCAAGGAGGAAGACTCCACCAGCCCTCTGGGCAACCTCTGTTAGTGCTCAGTCACCCTCATAGTAAGAAAGCATTTCCTGATGTTCAGACAGACCCTCCTGTGTTCCAGTTTCCACCCATTGCCTCCAGTCCTGGCACTGGCCACCACTGAAGAGAGCCCGTCTCCATCTTCTTTATACCCTCCCTGTCAGGTATTTGTACACGAGATCCCCTGAGTCTTCTCTTCTCCAGGCTAGATGGCTCCAGCCTTCTCAGCCTTCCTTTGTAGGAGAGATGCTCCAGTCCATCATCTTACTGGCCTTTTGCTGGATTCTCTACAGTGGCTCCATATCTCTCTTGTACTGAGGAGCCCAGAACCAGACACACTACTTAGATATCTAGGAGAATATCTGGGAGACGGAGATGATAGTCAACTTGTAGTGAAACTGTTTTAATATTACCAACAACCCCTGTCCTAATACTTGCCAGCTGTAGAAATAGTATATTATGGAGTTTGATGCTTTAATTTGGAAGAAAAAAAATATTTTTATGTATCAATAGAATCCAAAACTTACCTTTGCTGCAATGGAATTACCACAGTTTCAGCCTATGCTAAAGATGAAACTTGTCAGAATCATTCACTAGCCATCTGAGCTTCCTCAGACCCAGCTTCTTTCAAAGAAATCTTCTGAGGATTTTTATGAAATGGGAAAATTGAGGGTTAGGTAGTAGGACACAGAGTCCTACTTCTGCTGCCTCTACTCCAGTTGTACCTAGCCGCTCTGGCCACATTTACCTTTACACAGCCTGGAAAACTGTCTCCTCAGAAAACTGTTCTCCTCGTGCAACCTATCCCAGTGTTCAACTCTCCCAGTGCCTAATTTAGATCTCCCTTGTAGAAATGTAACCCTCTAGTTTCTTGTCCTATAGAATGCTGACTTTGCAATCATTTTCCCCTCTTCTTTGTGGCTCCTTTTTTACAGGTCTGAAAGTTTCTCTTGCTATAAATTTAAAAAAAAAAAAAAAAAAAAAGGATTAGTTTCCTCAGTATTTATTCTATGCTTCCCCACCCAAATATGTTACTCCTAACATGAGAGCATAGCACAAGAAAGTCTTAAATATGGTCTGAAACTGAGTACATAGGCCATTGGGTAGTATCGCCCTGTAAACATTACATCAGCTACGCACCTCCATCTCCTTTCCGAAGCGAGGATTTCTCTCTATTTGCATTCTGACCACACTGTTTGAATGGAGGGCGTGTGGAGAAACACACCTAATACACACAAGAATTTCACTGCTGGCTTAGTGTTTCACCATACTGCACACAGATGTGACTTTTTCTAATAGGCAGTGTTCAAAATAGAGTTCATCATTAAAAAAAATCCCACTTTTTACTGTGTGATGCTACAAAGTAAGTTGGCTTTGACATTCAAAGAAGTCACTTGTTCTATAAACTTAGCAGGCTGCAACAAAAACAATAACATAGTGAACTGATGTGCTAGAAAGAAGGGAAAAAAAAGGATCATACAATTGAGCCTATTCTTTCCTTGGAAAGCAAGTCAACAGTCACATGCCAACATAATCCTACCCTCTATATATTGCCTCTCCTAATTTATTCAGGAGTAACTGCCTACCACAAGCAAATAGAGGAACAGAAAGTACTTAATGGACATCTAGTGATAATGAAACAAACACATTCAGAAAAGCAAAGGGGGAAAAAAAAAAAAATCAAGCTCTTTTACATTTAAACCGCTGAACACGGTTTGAATAATCCATTCCCTCCACCAAGGTGTTCTCCTTAAAATCTTCAGGTACAATATTCATCGAGGTAGGATAAAACTAACCAGCCATGGCCAAGGGGAAAAGAAGCTCCAAAGAAAGGAAAGTGCCTGTCCCCTTTGAGGTATGACAAGCACAGCTCTGTCCTCTCATAGGATCATGCTTACATTTATGCGTGGTGTGATCTGTATTCCTAGCTCAGCCGGAGTTAGAAATACACACAGTCTTCCCAGAAGGAGCTGTAGGCACTCACAATTTGCTACCTATTATTACTTGCACTTGAAAGATTTCTGGATATTACATTACACACTACAGCCAAAGTACTTCAGTTCTCAAAGGCTTTTAGCACCTGAGGCTTTTCTGTGCCAGTGCAAGGGAGTTTAAAGCAAATCTTTGCATTCAAGAGCTAGATAAGGTCTTGTCGAGACATACACTCCAGCTCTCTCAAAAGACCTTTGCCACTCTTAGTTCTGACCCTCTAGGAAGAGAGAGCTAGCACCCAAGGTCAGAGTCCCAGCACACCACATGCTGCCGCACAAACAAAATAACAACTCAAATCTTAGTCCCAGCCGTGCCCTTTCACCACAACGTCGGGCAGATGACTAGTTGCTACCACACTGTTTCTCACAACCAGCCAAGTTAAAGCTACTGGTAAATAGCACCCAACCTTTCCACAGCCAGCATCTTGGGTAGGCACTGGCGACGAAAAGCACTCGCAAGCAGCACAGCTTCACAGCAGTTAAATTTATCCAACACCACAATCTCGCAGAATAATTTATTTTTAAGGGCCTGTTATTTTAAAACATCTTGTGTATGTTTACAGGCAGCTGGTGCCTTTTTTTAAGGCAGGGGTCACATCAACACAGAAAAGGGGCAAGGGAGAACGGATCTTTACGCTAATACGATATCAAATGAGCTCATATACTCTGAGTTTAAATGCATATTTTTATGGACAGATCTAGAGATGGGGACATAAACAGTTGCAGGCACTTGAAATTAGATGCTGGTGTAGACCTCTTTGCACATTGCAAATGCATCTTGGATTCACCATTATCAGTTAATTGCTTTCCCTTTAGTCCCTGTAGAGAGCTTTCTACAGATCGCTGTACTAATTGCTCTCTCTCCCCCAAGATCTTTTGAAAGCCCTGCACACAAGCTCTATTCTGGGAGGAAAAAGGTTTGTACCTCTTGGGTCATCGCTTGCCAACGCTCTAACCACCAGGACTATGGAAATAATTAAAAGCTTCCTTCTCTTTTAACTGACTTTAAGCAGTAAGGCCCTAACAACCTGCCTTCACACCATCCTGAAAGACTCGTACCTGTCTTTGTGGCTCCTGAACTGGTGTTCACCATACAACTAGGCATCACCCTGCACAACTAGTTTGAGAAGGGATTTAATCAAACCCTGCATCCTTAAGTTTTTTCTCACCATTATTTAGAAGCTCCTGCTGTAACCTTAAGCAACCCAACTGAGGAAAAAGAAGCCCGATAAATCCTTTGCCACCATCCCACATTACCATATCTCCCTGGCTTCTAGTCATGTTTGCCTACTCAGTTGCTATGCTGATGTGACAGAAAGGAGACAAAGAAGAAGTGCTAGCTGATGTTGAACATGGCAGCAGACCAAGAAAAAACAAGCAAGTAAACATTCTTTATTCTTTTTGTATTCTTCCGGAGTTTATAAAGGGATGTGATCTATTAGCATTTAGCAGTAGGGATTTGTTTTTTTTCAGGGAGTCATATGAAATAAAGACCCAGAACAACTTTCATCATTAAATTTGTCAGAAAAATATGAATAATGACACACATTTGTCAGAAATCCGACCAAGCTCCTATTTCAGGTCACTCAGACTTCAGAAAATAGAATATAATTCCCTTCCTTTTTAATACAGTACTTGGACCATAACATCATTCTTGTCTGGTATCAGTGTTCAGGTACAAAATTAGTCGATCTGGAACCAGAAATAGTTGCAATGACTTTCCCCAATATAGAAAAAACCCTCAGATTTCTGGATTTTCTATTAGAGGGATTTGGTAGATCTCTCCAGAAGCACTGCTGGATTGTGTGAAGAAGAGGTCCTCTTTAAGAAGATGCCTGCATAACATGGCTCCTAGCATTCACACTCAGTTAGAAGATTGTGATAAAGCTGACATCTGCAGACCTGGAAGATTAAAACAATACTATCTGAAGCACTGATCAGCAGTGATGATCCAATTGACTAGTTTGGCATCTCACAGCAGCTCTCGGTTCCAAGTAGCTCTTAAGTGCTCTATCAACCAGTACTTGAGATCCAGCTTAAGGAATCATCTCCTGGTTGCATTAGTGGTGGCTGAAGGTATAGGTCTGCAGAATTTAAGTTAACACGGAGCTGATGATCATCTACAGAATTTATATAAAACTATTAAAATGATTAGGAAGAAACAAAAATCTAAACGCTGCATTGCAAACACTTTCTCAAAACCAGTAATCAAATGAAGATGGTCAGAAGTCTCCTAATAAAGATTAAGTTACCTGATCTGCTAAATCATAGCATGCCATTCGCAGTAGCCATATAAAACCCATGCTGGTTATTCCTCCACTGCATGACATTTTATATGCTTAACACAGATTATTTAGTTAACTTTCACTGGCAGGAAAAATGCATTCAATAATGATCCAAAAATGTAAGATATTATTTAGTGAGCAAACACTTTTAAGTCTTAAGCAGATATGTCAACAGAAATGAATCCTAAAACTTTAATCATACAATGCAATTAGCAGACTAAGAATGTAATCTTTAGCACAGATGTGTAAAGAAGACTATCTTTGCTGAAATGCCTATTTTAAAAAAGTATAAACTAGGAATAAATATCAAATTTTCATAAAGCGTTACTCAAGGATCCGCAAGTCAAGATGGGTGAGCGTTAAGGTGCAGGGCAGGAATCAGCAATCACCCAGATGAAACCCCACCACTCAGCAGGTGAGTCCTCCTCTTCCCCAGAAGAAGGACTTACGGCCTGACACCTGGAAGCATGGCCACCAACATGCCACAAGTGCTCTCCCAGTTCACACTAACAGAACCCTGGCACTTCTTTAAACCTCTCTCTGTTAGAGCTCCAAACAGGCAACAGGGTTGGTCAAATCACCCCACCACGTGTATCCTCCTACCTGCTGCAATTATTAAATAAAACTGTTCTAGCTGTTCTATAGGGTTTAAACTCATCCATTTCACACATTCATTGCAAAGGTGAGAAAGCTGACATGTCATCTGAGCAATGCTGAGCAGTGACTTGTTACAACATTTGAGGAGTTGAAATTGCCCATCTCAAATTATAATCAAAGCTATTTAGGAGTTATATTTCCAAGCAAGCAACAATGAGAGCACTTTACATTTAGACATGATCCCGGGTGGGAGACTTCTCCAGCACTTCGCAAACCTGCATACCCTGAAAAAGCCCGGAAGGGTGAAAACATAGTAACCCACCTCATTAACAACTGAGGTCATTATGAAAACAGATCCTGTGCTTTGCTCTCTGCACTAGCTCTCAGTCCCTGCTGCAGCATTCAAGCATTCCTCAGAGTGGATTCCAAGATCGCCTGGGAGATCGCTCCTCTCTTTGTGATCCAGGGCACCCACAACCACAAAGGGCACAGGCAGAGCCTGCTTGAGGACATCTCACCAACGCAGACCCATCAAGCTCTCAATGTTAAGCACAACAGGTTACCTCTGACTTGCTTCCACGGTCCCTCCAAGTGATGTCTGCGTCCCCATAATTATGGCTTCCAACAAAATTCCCCTTGGGACCTCACACGACTGAGTATTTGATGTTTCAAAGCCAGGTTACTGGGGGCCTTCCCCTGTCCTAACACCAAGTGCTCCCCCAAAAGGGAAAGGCTGCACAAACACCGGAGCAAGATACCGACAGATGCTCAATCCATAAATATAAATGCCCCATACGAACAGTTTATCTGAGGGCTTGATTTTTCAGGCTCAGTTAACATGTAAAAACACTCTGACCGTACCTATTTAAAGGTTTTTCTTTCACTTCACGCATTGCAAATTTGTGGAAGTTTAGAAATAATCAGACCTCAAGACCAATGTCTTTGCCCAAGGCCCTGGGACTAGCCCAATGAAGAGCGAACGGTCTGAGCTAGAGCACCAGCATTCCACAGCCACAGCCTCTTTTACAGGTATAAAGGAGTTTGCTTCTTCACTCAGAGGGTGCAGCAATTTATTTACAAGCAAAAGAAAGCCAACAACCAAGAACCAGTCTGTTCAAAGTTGAGAAACTAACCTGGAATTAAAACAAATGCAAGAGATTGAGATCTACTCTTCTAGAAAAGGTGGACTGGGCTATTGTCATCAGAACTGGGTAACAAAAGGTTTTCCTAAGCCTGTTTTTTTACATTCCTTTTTATATCCAACAAATATAAGTAGCTGCCTTGAACTAGCAAGGCATTTTGGAAAGCTGTTGGGTGCTTTTCACTAAAGTTTCATTCCCATGTAAAAAAGTAATCAATTACTACATTCCACTGCTAAGATTAAGAACGATGCACGACACCTTTTTTTTTTTTTTAATTCCACTTTAAATTAAAAAATACCATTTAAAATATAATAATTGTCTCCAAAATGCACTTTTCCTTAAAACTCAGTCTACTCACTCATGTTTTGGCTCAGCTCAGATTATTTTTGAAGAAAGATACATTTAATCTAAACTTTTTGAAAACTAAAGCCATTTCTTCCTTATAGGACAAGGATATACGTAATAAGAGGGCAACCTCAGCAATTTTTGTTGGTGGTGGTTTGGGTTTTGTTTGCTTGGTTTTAATTTCACTGGAATAACAAAAGTGATCTACTGTTATGGATTTTTTTGATTTCTCATTTCTACCCATAAACTGAGACGTTAATTACTCACATAAGTATTGCCATAGTGTATCCTATAAAAACTTGGGTAATTAATACAAAAGATTGCAGTTAGCTATGTAGAACTGTATTTTAACAGTTACCAACAAGTTATTTCTCAACAAAAATATGAAAAATACTTACCATAATACAACCCCCCTGCTTCCCAATGCATATAAAAAAATAAATAGAGTTATCTGTAGTCTTGTAAGCTAACCAAGTAATTTCACCTATAAAGGCTGAAATCAGTGACAGAATTTCTCCTTTTTCCTGTGTCTAAACACTTCAGAGGTGTTATTTTAACAGAGATTAATTGCCAAGTAACAGCTACATCACTAAACTCTTCCCCTTGCACACCAATAGTTCAAACCCCACCAAAGAGAAGTGAGACCAGTATCCGAGTAAGATCTAGTTTCAAAGCAACTCTATAGGAAAAAGAAGAGAAGGTATATTTTGGCTTTGGTTGGGGTTTTTTTTGTGTGAATAATTTAAGAACATCCTTTATAACTGGAACATGAAATTTTTCTAGATCTGACATTCAGATATTCAACCTCTCCCTTTATTTCTTATTATTTACTTCCCATTTTGACAAATATGTAACAATGAACCATTTTTCTAATGCTCTCAAAATAGGTAAGGCTAAATTATAGCACACTAAGAATTAGGGAAAACATTACAACCTGCAAGCCCAATTCTAAATTCTTTATGTCATGCAGATGAAGGAAAACACTGAATTTGGGTGGATGCAGCTATAGAACAGTTACTTTACTAATGCAGTTTAGTTATCTCAGTTTTTACAGGGAAATTCCTTTCACTGTCACATTCGTTCAATTCACAGATAAGACTGTCTGATTAGGCCTGCCAACCCTCTTAATAAGGAGGAAAATGTGACTCAGGGGAACTTTTAGAAGATTTCGAGGACACTCTGGCTCAAACTGTAAGACCACACAAATAATAAAATAAAGTACAAATAGTGCTTACCTCATCCTGACACAGCAACATGCTCTTAACAGAGCCACCAAACCCTTAGGACAACCTGCAGCCTCATGAACCTGTTCTGAAAGGAACCGCAGCCCTTCAGAACAACTACAGTTAAAGCCTTTCAGAGCAGCAGGCGCTTACTGACTAGTACCAGCTATTTTCAGCAGAGATAGAAGGATCTGATACAGCCCAAGACTATTACCTAATGAAAAACCTGCTGAGGTAACAAAAACTTTCAAAGTTTTCCTTAGGTACAGTCACACCCAGTAGCTCTGGGCAGGACCCTTTTAAATGCCACAGTCTTCACCAAGTATCTCAGCAGCAAGTATTAAATAAAAACATCACACTAGGAAACTGCCCTTGAGACTGAAGATAGGAAGAGTAAATATTCTACTCCGCTTTTTTTTCTTCACTCAACATCAATTTTTCAAAGAAAAAAAAAAAGCAAAGACCTGTCTTACTGAGTGGGTGAAAAGATTTAATTTATTCAGTAAATGCATCCAAAAATATTTCAGGAAAAAAGCAGATTATCAAGACTCCACAAGACACAACAATAGACCAAAAATTATTTTTTTAATTAAAAAATCCAGAAGTTATCTGTTAGAAGTTAATTCTGATACAGGAAAAATGAACTGTTCTTAACAATGAAAGAAATAAAAATCAGTTAATACTCCCAAACTGTATATACCTCCAGACCTGAATTTTCTGGCTCTTTTAAACTACTGATTACATCAACTTTCATGCAGTTCTCAGTTGTGAGCATTTGGTTGTCTTCAGTGATGCAGATTCCCCCCCACTCCCCTTTGTATCTTTCAGAGAAGGTCTGAATAAAATCAAATAGTATATATGTTAATTTGGCAAGTTACCACGAACCCTTCATATTCTTAGAATCCATTCTGTGATCCTTTATACTGCCAAATTATTGAACGCTTCTAAATTTCTTAGATTTATTCCTTAAGAAATTACATCAAGTATTTTTTCCCCTTCGAATTAAGGTGGATCAGTACAGACAGTGAAATTTTGGTTTAGTAAAGCTCAAAGAGAAAGAAAACCAGGTATCTTGAGAACAAATAAGGTACCCCAGGCATACAACTACAACTTGACCAGTTTTATTTTAATACTAAAGCCAAGCTCAGAATTTATTACAAGTCAGAAAACAGCTGCCTCACAACTTATCTTAAGCTCACTCTTGGGGCCTTAAGCTATCTCCAGCACAAAAGCGAGGATACTACCATAACCACCACTCTAGTGAGCTGAAATACCCAAACTCAACCGGGAGTTTCAGTTAAAAAATGCTGCACTGAATGAACACAGCAGTTATTTTCTTAGTCCTCACAGAGGCCCTGCAGGTCCTGCTTTAGGGGCACCCCGGTGCAAGCAGGCAGAAGGGGCGTTCCTCACACACCTTCTGGTATTTTGCTCTACTTAAATGGAAGATGTATACCTTCAGGGATGCCACTGTGTTGTTCCCGTAAGAAAATGTAGGAAGAATTAAAGCACCAGCACTCATTACAAGGCTGCAACCCAAACTCCTACCCTAGTAGCTTACCATTTGTCCACAGTTGCTATTTATCTAAGAAATTCACGGTGCTATGATCAACTGCACCAGACCACAGCCTTTGGCCCGTGCCTGGAGCTTTAAGGAAAAGCCAGAACCGGCACCCGAGCGCTGTAGCTCCACTATATGCGGCAAGGGAGGAGAAGGAATGGGACAACCCCTCCTTCCTACCGGCAGCGACCAGAGGCCTTCGAGAAGCGATTTTAGGGAAGGTTACTTCAAGAACCTTTAGCAGGAACACTCAGCTAACTCGCAGTTCGCGCTTTGTGGGGGTGTAACATCACACACCTGCACACCGCTTGCAGCCTGAACCCCTCAAGCTCAGGAGGGCTCCCCAGGCTCCCCGCACCAACGCGCCGCCTCACCGGCTGCCCTCGGCTCCAAACCGGCCCCAACCCCCGGGGCGGGCCCCGCAGCCCCTTACCTTGCTGTCATCCATGTGTGCCGCCAGGCCCAGCCCCGCAACACCGCCGCAGCCCCTCCACGGAGAGCGCAGCGGAGCCGCTACCCCTCGCCCCGACGCCGACCAGCACTCACAGCCCCCCAGCACGGCCCGTCGCCATCGCCCGCCGCCCTGTTTGTTTACAGCCGCCCTCCCCGCCCCGCGCTGGGAGGGCGGAGGAGCGGCGGCGGAGCGGTGCACGCTGGGAAGTGTAGTCTTGCCAGGCCGCGCTGCCATTGGTTGCAGCCCATATGTGGGCGGGATGAACTACAACTCCCAGTAGGCCCGCGGCGGGGAGCGGCGCGACGATTGGTCCCCGCACCGCTGGGCGGGAAAACTACATTTTCCAGAATGCTCCGCGGGCTTTTCCGCCTCACCGCGGCGGGGCGGGCTCCGTCCCTCCCGTCAGGGTCGGGCGTTTTCCTCAGCCCCGGGCGGCTCCTGCGCCCGCCCTCGGCTATCTGCCGTCCTCGGTGAGGGCCACTGTCGGTTGGGAGTCTCGCACAGGCTCTCTCGAGCTCCGAGCCCTAATTTTAACCTTAATTTTTCCTGCTGATGATGTGTCTAAGCTCACCGGTGTGCCTGACTGCAGCCCTGCCCCGCGGCAGCCTCTGGGGATTGTTATAGAGCCAGGCCGTGTAACGGCTTGAGCATTTAAAAAAAAAAAAATTAAAAAAATCAAGTTTTCTGCTTTTATTTGCCTTGCTTTGCTCTTCGAGTTCCTGAAGACAGAACTGAGTCTTCCTGGTCACTTGGAGGCTGCGTGGTGTACACGGCCCGCGATGCCAAGCCACCCCACATCTGAAGAATCTTTTGAGATTTATCCTTTGAGAACACCAGGTTTCCTTTCCTTTTCATGTCAACCCATACCAGAAAACATCAGTGTTGAATGTGTTTGATGCAAAGCCAAACGGTGCATGTGTGTGTGCGTCCCAGGTCCCTTGAAATTAGGCCCCTGCTTGCTCAAAAGACACGTGTACCACAGCGAACAACTCTGTAAACACGGTCCGTGTTTCAAGTTCGCGGTGAAACCTGAAGCTAGGCATGTTTCATGTTGCTGCATGTTTCTTTTTATTCGTGCAACTCTATTCACGAGAGTTTCCCATGACTTAATCACTCTTCCATGCAATTGTTAGGGCTAAAAGCTTTGTCATGGGATTTTCCCCCTGAATCACAGACCTTCCTCTTGGAGGGATATGCTTGCTGGATGGCAGAGACAAAGCACTTTTATAAGCGCTTTTTTTTTTTTTCTATAAGCTTATATGCTTTTCAGTTGTTGAAGGCAGTTTGCACACTGCTTCCTATTCGCGTGTCCAAAACTGATGTATCAGTTCTTACAACTCTGCCCATGGAAGAAAAAAAAAATAAAATTTAAAAGCAGGGATGATCAGTATGTTAATCAAGAGGCATCAGCTAATGAAGTGGAATGAATAGCTTGCTATGAGCTTGCCTGGGTTGTCTTCTGTGATCCCCTCCCCCATCTTTGCCTTCAAATTCTTGAAGAAGGTGGTGAGGTGCCCTGTACCACCTTTGGCACTATCCTGGGGCCATAAAGCTGGCTTTAAAAGCCAGTTGGGGGTTTCCCTGGTGAAGGGAAATATTGAGTGGCAAAGAGCCAACATAGCTCACTTAGGCAACCCTCTGTTGCAACATGAGTGGAGGAAGATTAGACAGAGCCCTGATGCTGATTCAGAAACGCCAGAATCCTTGTAACCAACAAATTAAAGTTACAGCTGCATCTTCTCCTTCCACTACATTACCCCACACTACTCATTCTGCTTTATATCACTTAAGAAGCAGAAGCCTCAGCTTCTGACCAAGATAAGCACAAGTTCCCTGCCTGAACACTTAAGAGCTTTCATATTTTAGCACGGAACATCCAAAAATACGTGTTTCTGCTTTTCTGCTGTCGTCCTGGATGAATATGAACATGCAAATTGAATGGGAGTCTGTGCAAAAGAACAGTTGTGAATGGAACTGAAGATTATATATATGCAGATAAATAGTGCACAATCTTATGATGTTTTAAACTGATTTTAACAGCTAGAAGAGAGTACTTTACAGAAAAAAATATTGAACTCTTGGGAGTTCACTGCCACAGGACACTGTAAGAGAGTTCAGCAGGTTCAAAAAAGGATGAGACAGATTTATGTTTCATAAAGGGGTAGTAAAGGGATGTATTCTCCACCATCCCAAATCTAACAGTTTGGGATAGCGGGAATGTATGAAAAGAGCAGAGCACAGAAAAAGGCCAAGTTACGTATTCTCCCTTTTCAGCCTCTCCTCCTGCCCCTCCCAGAGACAGAATACTGAACAAAATGGACCCATGGTCTCACCCAGTGGGGCTTTTCTTTTTTTCATATTGTCTCACAGATCACAATTTTGACTCCCAAAGACTCAGAAGTGAATAAAGATTTTTAAGTAAAACTTCCTTGGTTAAAGGCAGAGATCTGTGGACTAGACAAATGCACCCTCACTAACTGCAGGTTACTGTTTTTCCTAGTAAGTGATCATTCCTAAGCAATTCTCTGAGACATCCTGGTGGTTTTATTGCTAAACCATAGTGATGTACACCAAGGAAACACTACTTTGTATTAAACCCAGTGTCACAAATTGTCTTATACAATAATTGGCAGTTTCCTGCTCAAATGAATTATATTTATTAAAAGAAGGGTTGTACTTCTGAGATCCAGAGAGACTTTGAGGTATATAAATAAACTGGGTTCGGTGATCAGGCAATAGTTTAAAAATCACTGCTTGTGTCAGTGTGACTGAAAAAGAGATATAACTCATGGGGTGATTTTGCACCATGTGCTCGTATTTGCACGGATGTCAGCACATGCCAAAGAGGTGTTTGTTCTCTCTAGAACTGTAAATGTTTTAATGTGGGCAAATGGAAATCTGTTCCTCTGAAAGCCTGCCTGAAATAATAAATCTCGCAACCTGTTGGTATCAAGACTCAGTATTTTGGTGAAACTGCTCCATTGTCTGTTTGTGGAGTCTTTGTAGATTCAGAGCCTTTGAGATCTGTTCATTCATGGATGGCAAAACAGCAATGCAGTTAAGATATTTTTTTATTTGTTTTCCAAATGTACCAAAATGCCAGTTGCTTTAATAGAGATGCTAACTCATTTGCCCTTGGGGAAGATTGTGCAAGAACATCCTGTCTTTCAATCCTTTGGGGGTTTCTGTAGAACGGGTAAAGAAATTGCATTTTCCTGTACCCTTTAACCTGATAGCCAAGAAAAATTTCTGGAAATACAAGAAGAAACTCTCTGTCCTTCAGTTTTTAGACTTTGTTGATGCTGAGACAGAGAATACCTTCAACTTGTCATTTATACCCGTCAGTTAAATTATTTGTCACTGGGGAGTGACAAAAAAATGTTTATTTACATAATATTCCATATCTTATTGTCACTTATGTAACTATGATAAAAGTATAGCAGATTTTTTTACATTAGAGAAGGAAGCTATATATGCTAAAGCTCTGAAAGACCTGGTAAATACATGAACAGCACATGCTAACAAGTACAGTGATCACTTCGTGGGTATGATTAAAAGGACATTCCATTTAAAATTAAAGTTCTTTGAAAGCTGATTTCTAAAATCTAATCAGTGTTTGAACAAAGCACAGCACATTGGGAGCCTGATCGGTGACTACTTGCTGTGCCTTGTATAATTAAATGTTGATAAGGGGTTTGCTCTCATATTTGCTAGATGCTTTGCTTTGTGACCAAAATGAGCGCCTTCTGCAGTTACAAATGCCTGAAGTCACATCTACAAGGGGAGTTCTTCCTGTTTGGCTATTGCAAATTAACTTAAGTAAAATGGACTCGAAATAAGTTAATTTGGAATAATCAGCTCTTGTGCATACACACACAGAGAATATTTACAGCTTTATCTAGCCAAACTAACATTCCCGTGTAAGCAAAATCTTGAACCAGTGTTCATGAAGCTTTCACATTGCTGAAGGGATAGACTATTTGCAAATTAAAATATGGCATGAAAATGCTCATGCTGCAGTTGGAAAGGAGATTTCACATTTTTTAGCTAGTAGAAGGGAGAAAAAAAGTCAGATGCTCCTATACTTCACACATGTGATTGATAGTTTCAAATAAGGTAAGAGAGGAAAACTAGGAATGGTTCAAAAAGGCATCTGAATAACATGGATTTCATGCAGACTTTAAGCTAAATATAAAAAACTGAGAACCAAGGAGCAAAACAAACAAATCGCTGATTAAGAGGATGACAAGGAGTGGGTTAAAGTTCAATGCGGTGAGCAAGTGAATAAAATTTAATCTTGTTCCGAAACAACAAACAAACAGAGCAGCACAATATGCCACGTTCAGGAATGTGAGAGCCATGTTGTATCTGGCACTTGAACAACAGAGAATTATTGCTGCTGATATGGTAATTGTAGAGGTACAGAAAAAAAGTGGGTGGATCATGTGAAATTCATGAAATACTTGAGGTGAACTTACAGCAGGATTAGTCTTTTCCTTTTAATTGTGTACATTGATCTCTATGAGCAACTGGTTTAGTAAAAAAGCATATTGTTCATTCTCAAGAGGTTTAAAAATCCACTTCAGCTCAGTGTCATTTTTTGTTCTTCAGATATTTTGCAATGTGCTTCTCCCCTTTGGCCTACGCAAACAAATATGCCTGCATATGCATACCTACTAGATCCAGGCAAAAACTGCTGCCTGTACTGGCCATTCTGGTAAGAGCATTTCTGGTTGCTTCCCACAACACTTAAAATAATTTTAAACTGTTTTCTCCAGACGCAGATTCTATGGAATGGGCTGTGCTCGACTCAAAACGTTTACATATCTAAGTCTGATAACTGCTGTCTTGTTCAAGGGCATGGACAAGGTTTCAGCAGAGCTTGAGCACAAAGTGAAGGACTCGTACAGCAAACTGGATCTGTGCTGGAACTGGGTCAGAGGATTTCCATGATGACCTTGACTACTTTCAGAAATGTCATTGTGTTTCATGCAAAGGGTCAGGTCATCACATACAGTGCTCTGCCCTGGTCTGCACCTCTCACTCTATCTTAAGCCAGCATCGTATCAGCTAACTTCTGTTTTGCAACTGTGTTTAAGCATCTTGGATTTCCTACTATTGTTATAACTGCTGATGAGCCTTGTATTTG